CTCTCTCTCTCTCTCTCTCTCACACACACACACACACACACACACACACACACACACACACGTAGCCCGGGAGGGGAAGGAGAAGGTGGCGGGCTGGAGGAGGAAGAAGAAGAAGATTTCTCTCTCTCTCTATCTCTATGCCAGGTACTGACCTGCGAAAGGCGGTGCCTTGATGCAGGTACAGACGTGCTGAAGACGAAGCTGGAGCGATGGCCACACAGGTAAGTCTCAGGTAAGTCCTCTGGCCGCCATCACCATCTCTCCCTCCCTGCGCTACTCTACTCTATCAGCTCCCAGCGCTGGAAGACTAGTCCTATCGTCGACTACTACTGTACTGCCGTCGCCCGAAGTATGCCTCCACTCAATCCTCTACTGAATGCTGTGACTGAGGCCGGACCCAGCTATATATAGCGCTGGGTCGGCCTCAGCTGCTGAGTCCTGGCGCTCGGCCTCACGAATGCCCCGACCACCTTCCAAGCGGCAATGACAACGGAGTTTCGCGACATGTTGGACCGATTGGTGCTCATCTACCTTAATGACATCTTGGTGTATAGCCGGACTTTGGACGAGCACATCGTGCATGAAAAGATCAAGGCCAACCAAGCGAAGTGTGAATTCTCACAACAACAGCTCGAGTACTTGGGCCACTTTGTGACGCCGCAACACATCCATCCACTTGCAGAAAAGATCAAGGCCATCCAAGCCGGAACCGACGAACATCGCGGAAGTTCGCTCTTTTATGGGATTGGCCGGGTACTACCAACGCTTCATCGGCGGATACACACGTATCGCCGCACCCTTGTTAAGACTGCAGTCTCCAAAGGTGCCCTTCCATTTCACCGACGAAGTCCAAACTTCGTTCCATGAGCTGAAGACGACATTGCTCCTCGCTCCCGTCTTGAGTATCTACGATCCCACCTTGCCGACGAGAGTGACTACGGACGCTTCCGGCTACGGCATGGGTGCAATTTTGGAAATACACGACGGAGTAGATTGGCATCCGGTTGAGTATTTCAGCCAAAAGAAGCCTCCCATCAACTCGATTGATGATCCGTGGAAGGAGTTGCTCGCTTTCGTCATGGTACTCAAGTGTTGGCGACACTTCCTCCTCGGGCGTCGTAGGCTCACTTGGGCTACAGATAATAACTCGTTGACCTACTACAAGACGCAAGACACGCTGAGCAGCACGACTGCTCGATGGATGTACTTCGTCGACCAATTCGACTTCACACCGAAACACATTTCGGGCCTCTCCAACCGAGCCGTGAATGCTCTCTCGCAAAGACCAGATCTTTGTGCATTTACTCACCATGCATTCAATTTCGACAAAGCCCTTCATCAACATTTTGTGCAAGTTCGATCTGGAATACGCCACGCTCTACGAGCAACTATCCTCGGATCAACCTGCTGGCCAGCCATTATCGCTTCGTCAACTGCTACTTGCTTCTTCATTCACGAGGCAAGGACTTACTCTGCGTCCCACACGGCTGTTGCTTACGAACTCACCTCCTCGGCGAA